GTTTTAAAATGTAAATTTATTCTCGTCTATGAAGTTACTGAAATTAGATTATCAATAATATTTTTTTAGAATGCAAGTTTACCTATTCCAACACTTGAATCATAATGTTTATAATCAAGTATATCAAATTTCACATGAGTTAAAATTTTTAAATATATTATCCAGTAATGAAAATTTACATATATTTAAAATAAAAGTTATGTATAGACTACCAAGTACTTTTGAAATTATATAAAATTTTTGTATACTTGATCTAATTAATAAGAACATCAAATATAATAGTTAAATTAGTTAAAAAATTTATATTTTATAAAAGATTAATTAAAATATAATTTTAATACTTTTGACATCTAGTATAACATGTACCAATGAAGATACACACATATTTATATATTCTTTCTTTCTTCTACTTTTCTGTAAATTTTACTGATCAAAACTACTTGTTGTTAATTACTCATTTTTATTAATAAGATAAAGGCACTCTGTGCCTGGATTGTATTAAAAAAATAATTTTTTAATAATTGTTCATGAATAGTTTCAGAATAAAAAAAATTAAGAGTAATGTTATGCAGACAACAAAAATTCTATAACATTATTTTTGTGTTTATCTCTTTTCCATTATTAATATTTAATAATATCTCTCTTCATAATAAATATAATAAATGAAATAATAGAGATAATAGACATATTGACAAGTTGTTGTACAATTTTTATTGTACGTGTGTAGCGTTACTAAAAAAAAAGATGAATGGTTACTCATTAGTAGTTTTAGAAAGGGAAAAGAAAAAATCAACATTTATTAGTAGTAGTGACTTGTTTCTCTTAACCAAATTGTCCAAAATGAAATATACTATATTAACTTGTTAGGAGAAGAATAATCATTTTGTGTACGCTCATTATTTATGAGAAGTTCTAGAAAATAAATAAAGATAAAAATGATTTTGTAAAAAATGTAAACCAACACAGTTATTAAAAATATATTCTCTTTATTAATAATAATATATATATATATATATATCGTATAATATATATATATATGATTTAAAATTATAATATTTATAATTTAAAATGATTAACAATTGTATAATTTTATAATACATTAAAATTATTAAATTTTTAATAAGAAAAATAAAAATGATAAAATTTTAATATTTAAATATTAAAATTATTTAATTAAA